CCTCCTCCTCCTCCTCCTCCTCTCCCCTCCCTCCCACCTCCCTCCCTCCCTCCCTCCTCCTCCCTCCCTCCCTCCCTCCCTCCCTCCCTCCTCCTCCCTCCTCGCTCTTCCTCCTCCTACCCCTCCTGCCCCTCCTCAACCTGCCGGGATCGGCACGTCCGATGCGTGTGTGTGTGTGTGTGTGTGTGTGTGTGTGTGTGTGTGTGTGTGCAATATATCGCTGGGGGCAGATGCCGTGCAGGTGCACGTGCAGGCCCCGCACGGCCTCGTCATCCCACTCCTCGCGTCCCTCCTCCCTCCCCATCCCCCTCCCCCGCCCCCTCCCCCTCCTCCTCCTCCTCCTCCTCCTCCTCCTCCTCCTCCTCCTCCTCCTCCTCCTCCTCTTACTCCTCGGCCAAAGATCGAAGCTTCTAGAAGTCTGATCCCAGATCGAGGCTCGAGCCTCCTCGACATGTTGGCCCTTTTCTGGCCTCTGGGAACTTGCAGGTGAACGTTTTCTTATTCGGCGCTTTGACATTGGGCGGAAGGGGGGGCAATGGGGGGGGTCTGGTTCCGAACCTCTGCTTAGTGCGACTGTTTGCAGTAGTGCGCCAAAAACAACCAAGATCTACTCTGTGGGGGGGGGGAAGGAGGCCTCGTCGCCCTCCTGAGGAAGGTCTGTTTCGCGACCCCGTTCAGCCAGGAATTCCTGGCTCTCTTCGGTTGCGATTGCATGATCGTCTCTTGCTCGCCCCACCTTACCTCTGCCTCCATGTCCTCCTCCGCCACTCCATCTCCTGGCCGTTCGACCTGAAGCATCCCGCTTTCACACCGGCTCGCTGTATCTTGGTTTACGTCTCCATATCCGCCATCGTGCCCATTGGCACGCAGAGCCGTGGTAGAATGCCAGGTTTAGGTCGGGCATGCCCCCCTACAGGCGGATGTTGGGAAAACAAATAAAGATACTTAAAAAATGCCATAACATAGTCAACAAATAACTCAAAAAACGGTCTCCAGACCAGTTGTTGACTATTTTTGAACATTCCTCCTGTAGAGGGGCAGGCCCGACCTAATGCCAGGTGCTGTCTGGTGGGGTGTCTGCAAGTCCTGTGCGGCCAGGCGCGTGCATGGCTGGCCCTCCTCTGGCGAGGCCTCCCGGGCGGCCCCGCGCCTCCCCGGGGGCTCTCCGAGACGCTCGGGTCCCTCCTCCTCCTCCTCCTCCTCCTCCTCCTCCCTCCAAGACGGCCCGGGAACGCCACCGAGGCCGCCAAGATGGCAGGCCGCCAGCGGCCCCCCAAAAGGCCCGCAGCCGGCCTCCGAGATGCCGTCGAGAACGCCAGGAGGTCCAGGACAGCCCAGAGCACGTCAACGCCTCGGGGCTATTCTCAGGCGTTTGCGCATCTTGCGTTTCCTGGACCTTTCGGCTCTGAGGTGGTTTTGGGAGGATCCATGAGCCAAGGAGAAACCAGCAGAGCCCTGTGAGCGTCCCCCAGACGGCCCAGGACCGCCCCAAGAGGGTCCCATAAGGGGGTCACAGGAGGGCCCAGGACAGACCCAGATAGCCCCAAGATGGCCTCAAGAGGCCCCCACGACAGCCCCACAAGGCTCCCAAGACGGCCGAGAGGGTGCCCAGAAGGCCCAGGGCGGCCCAAGAAGGTGCCACGTGAGCTCAAGACGGATCCCAAGACAGCCAAGGCAGGTCCCAAGAGAGCCCCTCAAGGAATGGAGACAAGATGTGACACATGATGCTGGTCGCCCGTCAGAATGCTGCGCTGGCACGGTGGTGGAAATTACCCGACACAACCGAACCTCCAGTTGCCGGACTTCCCCTTGCGCTCACATGGATCTATTCGCAACCTTCCCGTATCGTCTCTTACATTGCCTGCCTCAACAAACTCACTTTGCTCCTATTTGCTTTTGCGTGTATTCGCACTTGCACATACTTGCAACGTTGAATAGGTGCACCTGTTCTTTACTAACCTGACAAAGCTGGCTGCCCATTGACTCGGAGGACACTGCGGAGTACTCAAACGAGCATTCACTGTGTCACCATGCTTTTCACACGTAGCCAAATTCTGGGACTACAGCCTGACACCCGGAAGACCGGAGCGGAACCAACACGCTGAGCATCGTTGATCCGACGACCCCTATCCCCAACGGCGTGACCTGGGCCCCACTTGTCCATTAACCCTTCTAGATGGCGATATAGGCTATTCCCTTCGGGATTCGAGGGTTATACCCCCAACTGGCGTGGTGAGATGGTGGGGGTCTGGATGGGGATGGGGACGGGGATAGGGGTCGGCTAAACCATGCTGAGCACAGAACCCAATCCTATGGGCAGGCAACTTCGCTGCCGACACGCAAACCATCATCGACCTGACAGCACTGGGGCGCGCAGGGAGGTATTGCCGCGAGGCGAGACGGATGACTTCGTTTGCCCCGTCTGGCATTGCTGCGCGATCTCGCTGCTCTGGCGCGGCTTACATGCGCTCTTCACACGCGCGCTCGAGCCAGAAGCTTG